TATTCTACATGAATCAGCTCAAAATATTGCATATAGAGCAGTTTATCTTCGTAATAGAATGAAAAATTTAATAGGTATATATATAGAATTAATTTGGCAAATTAATACGGTTACGGATGTGCCGTATTATTTGCCGTAATTACTTTGTGCCGTAATGCTGCCGTTATATTGATAATATCTAAAGATTATATATAGTAATGTGTTAAAATACTGTAATATTGCAATAACATAGAATAACATTCCGCTAGTATTTATTGTTGAAGCAATTTTTAGAATTAAGATAACGCACAGTAAATTTACTGGTTTTGTGAATTGATCAAAGTTCATAGCGAAAGATCTTAATTTTTTTTTTTTACTGTTCGATCAAGGCTATTTCTTATAGCCGGGAGTAGAGTTGATTTTTCAGATTATCCTAAAATAAATCTAAAAATTCCTAAATTGGTCCAAATTATCCTAAAATTGTTCTATATTTTTACTAATGCGAAAGCAATTAACGATAACAGTAAAGCAAGTTGTTATATTTCAGTCATGGGTGATGGAATAACTATGGTTGGTCATTAATTTAAAGAAATCGGTGTTAAAAAGAATGAACACTGTTCAAATATTATCAAAAATCTGATAGTAATTTAATTTTAACCCTAACCCTAACTTAAGCTGAGTAATTAGAGAATTTATAATGATAAGTATAAAGCTTAGCTTTAGTCATAGTACATAATATAGTATCTAATAAAGTCTTGGCAGAACTGTCAAAGTTTATAAATATATATATATATATATATATATCGTTTGTTTAAATGAAGATTATTAATAAAGTTTTTTAGATATTAGTTTGGGCAAGTGTAGGTTCTCGCAGCAGAAGAGAATAAGAAGAAAACCGCCTTTATTACCAAATTCAGCACTTACAGTATTAATACGTATACGTATAGTGTACTTTAATGCAACATACTGTAATATAATCAATTTATATACTATATATAATAAATTATATATATCTAATACAAGTATCAATATTAAAATTATGAACATTATTATAATTTAATATATATAATCATTAAAAAATTTTTGAGAACATTAATGATTAAGTTAAGCTTTTTTGAGAACATAATTTTAAGTTTGAATTTAAACATTGGTTATGATACATCATTTTAACGTTCCTCCCTTCTGTAATAACTGATGGGCAATATCTTCGAAGATGTGCCCTCTGTCAGATATTTTTGCGAGCAAATCATCTTTTTGATTACACATGGAAACTACCAATTGACTTATATACACTCTAACTTTAAAATCTTCTTCTGAATATTGTTTTGTCGCAGGAGGGCTTTCCAAAAAGTTTACACAATCTTCGAACAGATTGTCTGAAACATTTGAAAAATAAGAATGAGTGACTTTTGAATCACTAAACCTTTGTTCGATTTCCTGAAACATTATATGTTTTGAAGGCTGCATATCCCATAATATAAGCTAATTAAAAACACAAAATGATTTATTAGCGTGGGAATAAGAAATAGGTGTATGTATTTAAATAATGAAATATTCTTATACCTGCAACAAAATTATCAAAGTATCTCTACTCATTCTTATTCTGGCCCCACGAAGGGCGGTTTTAAGTTCTTCAAGGATGACTTCTCCAAAGGCATTAGTCTTGACATCATCAGGAGAAATGATTTCGACTACCGCCTTGTAGGAGGCCATTAGTTTTATAAATGATTCGATCGTTACCGCACATTTATTGATTGCATACTTCAAAAAACCTTTAATAGATGGCATTATATCCTGTGCAAAAAGTTAAAATATAGGTTTGAAATTAGATAAACAATAATAACAATCACATCCTAATTTCGAATTTTGAAAAGTAATTCTCACTTTTATAGAACTAGGATTGTGTTTAAGGATAATAGAGATAATATTAAGTATAGGATTTACATCCCAATCGGTTGCCTTCCATTCACTTGTATGTTTAGATAGCTTTGTTAAGAACGCTCCCAAATCTGTAAAATAATTATTAATCAATTACACAATAAAAAATATATATGACTGACACTCTCTAAGACCATTTTCGTTAATTGCAGATTATGTGTTTAAGATAATCTTCTAGTCCAAAATATGTAGATCTATAAATTTTTCCTTCTAAGTGTAATATCTTAAACGCAGCCAAGTTTTTCACTAATTGCTGGTCAGGATGTCTTAGGTGTTGACTAAAAAACATATCATAAATTCTCTTACCATTAACTAAGTTATCATCAAATGACTTAGAGTGCACCAATTCCACATATTTATTCAAACTACGGAGAACAGATGAAACAGCCGATTTATTCGTAAATTTGAATAGTTGATTAAAAACGTCACGAATAGGTTCATCTCGCAAGTAAATAGGTCCAGATGCTTCTTCAGATGTTATTTGCTCATCTCGAATTACATCTTGAAGAACCTTAAACATGTCAAGTTCTTCAGTGTCATCACTTGCAACTGCTTGATCCTAGTTTTAAAAAAACAAATGTTGACTAAAAACCATTTAATATAGAATTACAAAAAAAAAAGAAAAGCTATACCTTAAAAATCAAAACAAACAGTCCATGTCTCGCGAATGTGAGAAACGCCATTCTTAAGAACGTTCTTGCACTCATAACTAACGTGCTATTGGTATCATTCCTATGTTTCGTTAAAAGTTTCCCTATCGTAATAATTTGCGTACCAAGTATAGTAACTGTTAGCATATGCGCTCGTTTTAACAATGATGTCGATAGTTCTATTATTAATTGTTTATTCTCTTCTGTTATATCTTTTGGTATTAATTCAAATGTTTTTTTTATAGCATTGACTACGTTCTCTTCTCGTTCTTTGAGTTGTTCTTTTTCTAATTTGTCCTGGACTATTTTATGCTGTAATTGCAAAAGGTGCTTTAAAAACAATCTTTGGCAATTAAATCTAATTATATAAACAATTAATTACCTTATAAACAATAATAAGCAATAATTCGACCCAAGTTTTCAACATAAGATGGCT